CTACCAATTTCGCTACGGAGACCAGCATGGTAGAGCAATATTTGAATTATCTGTTACCTAAATTGTTATTCTTGATATAAAATGTGTAAAATTCCACCACATGTTGAAATTTACTTTCTCTTGAAAATGTTGGATTCAGTTTATATCGAAAGTTCTCAACCTCGATCAGGTTTCGATACAAGCCTTCGTCCATTGTATTTTCATTTTTTATCTTCCCCGATTCCCGACGTTTGTTTTTTGTTTTTCAAAGCAAATAAATACCATTGATTCACTTCACTTGTATTCTCCAGCTCACAACAATGTCACTTCGACATGAACCATTTCGACCAGCAAATCCCCAATGGAGCATGATCAAGATTCATGGCACAATAAAATTCCTGTGATGTTTGTTTTTCTTCCCTTCTCTTTTTCTCCTTCTCATTCAATTGTGCAAAAGTGTTTCGGTAATTGTTTTGCAGGAGCAACTGACCTTTGCAATGACAGGTCATTTATTTCCCCGCCATTTTGATATATCAAGCAAAATGGCTCCCTCAAATTTTCCCGCCTTTTCAGATTGCTTTTATATCTTGTCCGTTGATGGCTTACAACATTTTTATTTGTTTATAACAATTTTGATTTTTCTCTTTTCTCTCTGAATACGATCGATTATTATTAATAATAATAATAGTTGTAGTATTAATAATTCATATTGTATAAGAATATAAGCGTATGGCTCAGAATGAGTATAAGAATGTGCAAATGATAAAGTTATGATCATTATTGGAAGTTAGGTAAAAAACACGAGTTTGAATGAAGGAACAAGTATTATGAACATATAATCACAAATTAGAAGAAAATATTGGGAAATAGTAAATTGAAAATCCTTTGAGATATGGCGACACAGACAGTGACACCATTAAACGCAGTAAACCAGATTTAGTCCTGCTGGACAAATGGAAAATAAGATTTGCTCCCTGACAGAAGTCTCCCGTCAATTTGACCTGAGAGTTGAATGTCGTCCTGGGTATGACGATAAACTACACCCAGCAGCAAGGTCTTTAATCGAAAGACTGGAGGTTTTGAGAGAGTGAAACCATATCTTACTTGATTTTTTCGTAGGTAGCCATGACACCTGTTATGATCCAAGTTATGGACAAATAGTGAACATCCAAACAAAAATCAACAATACATTTTATAGCAAAATGACCAACAATACATTTTGATAGCAAAATGACTAACAATATATTTTCATAAAAAAAATGATAAACAATGCATTTTTGCAGTGAATTTACCAACAATACATTGTATGATCTACAAACTATATATTAAAAAAAAACTATATTTTAAACATAAAAGCATAAAATTATGTACAAAATTATATGGAAAATATTTAGATTTCGGTATTAAATAACCCGTAGAGGTTGATATGCCGATAAACAAAATCAACCAATCAAATAAACAACAAACATGTACACGTACAAAAGCTGAATATCATCTACCATATTTTCAATTTTGAAAGAAGAATAACATATATTTTTATCACTTCAAACCTCCCTATTAAATTCCGGCAATAAATCCAGAGACGGATATAGAAAGTGATGGGTCCTGATCTAGCATATCGTCTACCGTCACTTTCTCACAGACGTGCTGTGACTTCCCTCTGTCTTTTCTACAAGCATTTTTACGGCAACTGTTCTGGCGAGCTATTTTTTCTGGTTCCTAGACTGCATGAATTTAAGCATTCTATTAGGTTGGCATCTCGGTCCTGCTCCTTTCACTGTCAAAACGGTTAAATGTAGCCATCTCTGCTACTCCAATAGATTGTTATCTCGCACTTCCCGACTGTGGAACACCCTTCCTCTTACTTGCTTCCCTGATAGCTATAACCTTCAAATATTCAAATGTAATGTCAATCGACATTTCCTGACACCTTGATCCTGTTCACCGTTCTTCTCTTTATCCTTTCCTCAAACACCCCTCTTTATTCTTGCTCTCCCTCTCTGTGACCCCTTGCGTGCTAGTGGCCTTGCTTGGGGTGAAATGCTTAAAAAATGACCCATGAGGAGTTGATATGCCGTTAAACAAACAAATGAAATCAGAGCTGAATGTATACAAATGAAAACTGCAATAACTTTTAAATATTCAATTCTGAAAGATTTTAAGGACGAACAAAATTAATTATAATACCAGTGAACATTGAGGATATTCAATAATGACTCATATATAAAGGAAGAATATGTACCTATAGACGAAACATGTAAATGCTTGTAGATATAAATATAAACATATGTGTATTGTGAAACAGATCACCGAAAGGATACTTCTCCGATCAGCTACTATCTTAACATTTTCAATTCTCGGATCAACCGTTATTTATTTCCAACTGCATCTTCCAAGAAACCGCTAGACTGAGTCCATCGGGGGATTTTTACTGGGTGAAAAACAGGAAAGGAATCCCGGAAACAATTGCTATAGACTCAAATATAAATGGACAACATTTACCTATAGCTGAGTACTATAAAATGTTATAGACATATATATAAATGAACATTTCTATCTATCTATCTATCTATCTATCTATCTATCTATCTATCTATCTATCTATCTATCTTAATCTGTTCGTACCTATCGAAATGTCTTTGTTCCACCTGTACATGGATTAATGATTTCAGAGGTCATGAGTTTGTTTCTCACCGGTTGCCATATACAAAAATACGATATTAAATAACCCTGCAAGATTTGACATGTCGCAAAATCAACCAACCTATCCTAACTTCAACATTGGGTTCTCATCCACATCTATCGTAGTCTCTTCACTATCTATCTATCTATCTATCTATCTATCTATCTATCTCAGTCTTGTTCATATCTATCTATCTATCTATCTATCTATCTATCTATCTATCTATCTATCTATCTATCTATCTATAGATAGATAGTATCTATCTCTATTTTTTCCTTCTCACCAACATTGGGTTCCTGTCCAAATCTTTTGTCTGAATCGTAATCACCTTTATTCCTCTTCTCGATTGATTTTCTTCGACGTTCGCGTCTCAGATTCTTGCTGGTCAATGCCTTTTAAAATCAAACTGATGACAACAAATATTTGATGCTTCAAATTTTGTTCCCGACGTCTCAGCGAAGACAAAACATCTTAAACATGTCGCGAGATCAAACAGAAACGAATCAATAACAAGCAATAAAACGAAGTTTTCAAGTTAGATCAAAAACGATTCGGAAAGACCTGAGATTTCACGACAAACTCTGATTTACCGACTTGGGTCGTTTTACATTTCTCTCTTTTTATTAAGCATCTTTCATCCTTCCTTTCTATAGTCGAATTAATGTTTTCCTAAATGTTTGTATTATCGCAACGTTTCGGCCGTTGTAACACTCGTCCTTCTTCAGGTGTTTATCGATCCGGCTAACTTTCTGTGAATTTCGAACTAAACTCTTAATTTAATCTAATGGGTTGAATTAATATCGTTCACCTTTCCAAGTCTTGTACTATGTCTTCTTGTTGTTCTCTTTTTAAGTAGGTGACTCACTCTTTTCGTTAAACAAACGTGTATAGCATGATGAAGAATGGCCCCAAACTTGAGGCGAACAAAATTGTATTGTCAATTTGTTATTAAGAGGAAAGAGCAAATATTTTTTTATCATTTTATTAAATTTTTTAATACTTTCTAGCAAATTCGAAATTTTGTTTAATAATATTGTTTTTGTTTCCTTTTCGTCTGCGGTGACCCAAAGACTACTATGCTGAATTTAGCGTCTTTTTCCGGTAAATTGGAAATTCTTGTAAATATCAAATAATTGTCGAATTTTAATAAAAATTTTAGAAGTTATATATATTTTTTTACATCCCCCCTACACTTAATTTTACGAAATTTCAAGAAATTAAATTTTGATTGCATAATGTTTTTAATTAGTTAAAAGCAGGACACCTTGGAGAATGTAAATCATCAAATTTTTTCAAATATTCGGTTGGCAACTAAGTTCCCGCCGTTTTTTTTTAAATTTAAAATTTTTAAAAGGTTTAATAAAAATTAAAAACTAATGTATTCTCCCTTGTTGTATACAACTTCTTCCCAATGTTTTTTTTTCAAGATTTTCAATGCCTTGTTGGTAGAAATCACCCTGTTTCGACTCGAAAAATTCATCCAACCAAGCTCTCAATTCTGCATCAGTATGGAACGAAACTCCGCGCATAGCATTTGAAAGAGATCGAAAGAAGTGAAAATCCGTTGGTGCCAAATCGGGAGATTACGGCAGGTGTGGCAGCATTTCCTAGCCATGAATTTGAATGGCTTCTTTGGTCATATTGGCGATATGAGAGCGGGCATTGTCGTGCAGCAAAAGAACTCTATGGTGCTGATTAGGTCTTTTCTCTTGAATAGCCGTGTTGAGTCGTTTCGTCTGTTGAACATAGAGTTCCGTGTTGGCCATTTGCTTCCGTTCAAGCAATTCGTAATGGATAATCCTTCCCGCGGATAAAGATCTTGTTTCACGCGCGGATCGCTTGTTCACCATACGCAAAACATTTTTTCGTTTTCGGTAAAGAAATCTTTGCGGATAAAGCAAGCAAAAAAAAGCGAAGATTGTGGCTTTGATTTCACGCGCGGAACCCATACTCCACACTCTGAGTGAAGATGTTTCCGTTCCTTGTCGTTTGACGACAATTTTCGTGCATAAGTTGGTTTTATCGCTCTTCATCGAACTCAACTGGACGGCATTTTTGAGGTCAAAATTTCCATTTTTGAACTTGGCCCCAATGCTTCTTTGAGCCATATTGTCGCGAACAGCTTTTGCGGCCTTAGAACCTTGATTAAAAGTAAAAAGAAGGTGGTCGAAAATGCTTTTCCATTTTAATGATCTGAAAATAAACAGAAATGAACTTAAATTAATTAAAAAATAGATTACAAAATCATTCCAAAATAACGATTCCAAAATTTAAAAAAAACCTTTTGCTAATCCAAGAGTTACTCCAAAATCTGGAATCGCAAAATAAAAAGCGCAATATGACGATTAAGTGAGAACTATATTTAGTAATCAAAAAAAAAAACGTTTACTACCTGTCTTCAAACGCCAAGATACTAAAAATAATTTTCAATCGTTTTTAGTTTATAAACGTGCCAATTTTGAAAGTACGAGCAACCATACGCGATATTATCTAAGAGCGATGATTATATCAAATTTTAGTCAACATTCATAAAATTGATTACTAGAATCCAACATTTTTTTAAGATTACTGCATGCGGAACCCATTTTCTTAAATTATATTTTACAAATAAAGTCCGTAGGACAGCAATCTGAGAATTACATTGCGATGAAAACGATGCTTCTCTCAAAAAGAAACCTCCTTCCAGTCAATTTAAATTAGTTTTGAAATACAGTAAAGTATTTTGCCAAACATTTAATCTATTAGCGAAATTAAAACCAAAATCCAAGAAAGATTTTTCATTTAAAAAAACATTTTAACGACATTTTTTGTTGAATTTTTTTTAAGCGTTATTGATCATTCTGTTTTTCAAGTTGGTTTTATCGGCTCTTCATCGAACTCAAGTTCATCGATACGTGATTGTCAAAAAGTTTAAAGTTTAAAACCAAGCTTCCTGTATCGATGTAAATTTTTCGGCGTTTGTTGTATTTCTCCAAATATTTGCCTGATAATTTTATCGGTCTTGATCTGGCATCCAACTCCTTTACTATCGACGTCGTTTATAAATTTTGCCTGATAATGAGCTGTAATTATTGGATGTAAATATTAGTTATGTATGTGAAGCTGGATGTTTCTGTAAGGTTTAGTACTTACATGGACACTGAGATGTACTAATAGGTGTATATAGTCTAATTTACTAATACTGTAATATTGAATACAGACTTCATAGTCATGTATATGTAGTTGTGGGTATCTGTCAGGTTTAATACTTACATGGACACTGAATATTACCAATATTTGTATATATTCTAACTTCCTAATACTCTAAAACTGAATGTGAATGTGTCATGTATGTGAATCTGAGTGTATCTATCAGATTTTAATGTTTACATAGGCATTAAAACTATCAATAGTTGTATCTAAAACAGGGGTGTCAAACATACGGCTCGCGGCCTGAACAGATCCGCTACAAGGTTTCATCCAGATGACTTTGAAAAGTGTAAAAATTGTATTATATATTTACTTAAAAATTAATTCAATGACTAACAACGTGTTTTTCTTCTTTTACGCAAACATTTCACTTTGTTTTATCCAAATTGTCTTTGTCCAAAAGGAGAAAAGGGGAAACAGAGTGTAGATCATTTCAAGAAATGTGGTCCTTTTCTTATTTATTCGTGGAGGTGAATGGAGGAAACCTGTGTGCATGGTGAGTTCACAGCAAGTTTCAGTGCTCAAAGAATATAACCTTTAGAGCTACTGTGAGATTCATTATACCGACCTATACAATAACTTGCAATGACAAATGAGAAGAGAGAAGGTAAATACATTGTTAGCGGATCAGAAGAAACAACAGTCTGCTTTAACCCAAAGTCAAGATATCAGTCAGGCAGAAGTAACAGCTAACTACCTTGTTGCCAGAGAAATAGTATTATCATTAAAACCGTATTATGATGGGTAAGTTCATGAAAAAATGCATACTGAATGCATTTTCATCTCTCTCGTTGGTGCTCTGGACATGGTCGGAGTGGACAGGACGTGAGAAGTCAGCATGGCTACAGATAGCTCTCCATCAATGATTGGGAAAAAAGCAGGTGTTGTGGCGCAGTTCAGAGAGAAAGTACACACTGCAAATGTAGGACGTAATTTTGGAATATTTCACTGCATTTTGCATCAGGAGGAAATGTGTTGGAAGACGTTAAAATGGATCACGTCATTAAAGTGGCTGTTCGAACTGTTAATTTCATTCAAACTACACGTCTGAATCACCATCAGTTTGACAATCTTCTCAGTGATATAGGCGTAACCTATGGCTTACCATATCACAACGCGTTTAAATGGTTGAGCCGGAGTACTGTATTGAAGCGTTTCTTTAATCTACGAGAGAAAAAAAAGAACAGTTTATGGGGAAAAGGCGAACCAGTGTTAGAATTTCAGTCACCAGAATGGCGGCAAGATTTAGCATTTATCGTGGTTATTACAGAGTACTTGAATAATCAGAAAGAAATGCTGAAAGGCTGTAAAAAGATTGTCACACAGTATTTTGAAAGTTTACGTGCGTTCAAGTTGAAGCTAACTTTGTGGGAGACACAACTATCAGGTGGGGATCTTGCTCATTTTCGTTACCTAAAAAATGTGTTTACGACCGCTGATAATATTGACATGAATCGACACAAAAACAATGTCACGGGATTGCAGCGAGGGTTTGAGAAACGGTTTCAGATATTTGGTGAACTTGAAACAGATTTTCAGAAAAGCATATTTTATTTTTGAAAGATTTTTTAATAAAGAGAATTACATTGCGATGAAAACGACTAAAAAGAGCGCTAATCAGCTATTTTACCAATAAAACTGTCATCACCTTATTAAACACGTAAAAATGGCTACTGTCGGTTAAAAACACAGCTACAGCTTGGTTTTAAAAAATGTATTTCTGCGTTATTCTAAATTTAAAGTAAATAATATCTGTTTTGAATCTGATTAACTATACTTTAAATCAGCTAATATTTCACAACCCAGGCAAGGTGCAGTTTGCAAACCTGGATGGGTGCACTGTAGCGACTTGATAAGAAGACGACTATTTACATTTAATAAGGGAGAAGGGAGTTAAGTACAAATATTAGTAGTCTAGATGGTTTGTGTAAGTATTGACCAACCAGAAACTTTCTAGATCAGAAGTGTCAAACTTATCTTAGTTCACGGGCCTTATATCAACCTATTTTGATTTCAAGCTAGCCGAACCAGTAAAATCTAAGAACCTATAAATAGCCATTTCAAAATTTTCCTTTGGTTTTAGTGTAGAAAAATACATTCTTAAAATGTTCATGTTTAAAGAATAATTTTGTTTTGCCAAAACATTGAACAGGTGAAAAAAGTAACTGTTAATAAGATTGATTAATCTCACTGCCTTGTAAGTGTATACAATTTAGATATTAAAATTTTTTAAAAACACTTTTATTATATTTTATCATTTATTTTCAATATATTTCTGAAATTTAGCCTCTTTTTTCCCTTTACATGTGAATCAATATAAGTCATCAAATCCTGATATACAACCAATTTCAGGATGTCATTTAGGTGCTTATGTGTGAGCCTTGAGTGCGGCTTTGTTTTATTGATGTTCATTACAGAGAAAACTTGTTCACATAGGTAGGTAGTCCCGAATATGCACAAAACTTTCGTAAAAAGGGCTGTCAATTTAGGCTACTTTGATAATGAGATAATGCTAAAATGTGTCCACCGAAATAAATTTGTTCTTCAAATCTGAATCAGACTGGAAGTCAATCATTTCAAATTCGATGTTGATGGGCAGATCAGAGGCGTTGACTGTAAATGGCGAGCGAAAAACTATGAAATCTGTTCCATATTTTGTAATTGCTCGCTTTGGTAGTTGGAATTATAATCAGAGGCATATCTTCATTTCAGAAGATTGGCCTTACAGCGACTAGCAGCTGTTCGGAGGTGACTCAGGTAGGATTAGAAGGGCCAGGCATTACTGGAGCGAGGGGCGAGCCAGGATTCAGTTGAAGAGTTGAAGAACAGATGATGACAAGGAGATCTTTGGTTCAGTGGTTTGACTCAAAAATATTGCCATCGGTCAAAATCATATATACAGAAAACAAATGTAAATTTTTTTTTTCCAAAAGTGAGGCATTTCTGTACAGCAAAAACGACAGCTCACCAAGAAAAAGCAGGCCATTTTCAGATTCAGCGCCCTCGAATTAGCTAAAAAAGATGTTTGGTGTCTCGACACAATTTCCAAATTTTTTTTTTGACCAGTGCTATCTATCTATCTATCTATCTATCTATCTATCTATCTATCTATCTATCTATCTATCTCAGTGGCTTCATCATCTATCTATCTATCTATCTATCTATCTATCTTTTCTTTGACTGCACGTAAGCATGCCAAATCTTGTGAGATATATTTGTGTTTTGTTTCCTCTTGTTTGTCTGTTTGGAAATACGCCTGCGCATATGTGCTACGCACTTGCTTAGCTGACTCCCTGACATAGGCTGAGAAGCATCTACTCTCCACCCTGTCCGCCATTAGTTGTAAATCCTTATACATACCATGTCATCGAATAACAAATCCCCAATGGCTGCATTCAAGGAGCGTAGAGATACAATCAACCGGAAAAAAGGTTCTCGCGAATAAACCGAATGAAATATGCCAAGTCAAGCATTCGCAATCCGAATTAAGACAGTTTCATAATATCACCCCGGAGAGTGTTCGTGTTCGTTTTTTGTTTTTTTTTTAATTTTCATCATTGCATGCTGGTTATGGCAATCTACAAACCATTCCTAAATATATGTAGATCTTAGCCACTATTAATCTGTTCGAAAGAAGATATTTTCTCAATATCTATCTTAAACTGTTCGTATCTATCTATCTATCTATCTATCTATCTATCTATCTCTATCTATCTATGTTCATATGTTTGTATGTATGTATATATGTATGTCCGACTGTTTTTAAAAGTAAAAGATAAAATTTCATTAAGTACAGAGTTCTTGCTTTTATTTTGACAAAGAATAAGTATTTAACTATAAAAATAATTAATCATGTAACCAGACATCAGGCGATTGAGGCGACCACGCCATAATTTTCGAGATTTTGTTCCTTTTTTTTCGAGTTTATTTTGACATAACTTATAAAAGTGTTTTGAATCTTTGTCTTGTTGAAAGGTAAATTATTTTCCAATTATGCCTAAATCAGATGATAAAGCATATCTTTGAAGAATCAAATGATGTTCTTTTTTATAATTACCTTGAACCACATCAATTCTCCAACCCTCTTCCCACAAAAACACATTTTCACACCATAACAGACCCACCACCATGCTTAACTGTTAAAACTATAAATTCATCCTTCAGTCTTTCTCCTGGCGTTGTTCTTACACACACTCCTCTTTTACTGCCCAAAAATTCAAATTTGGACTCATCTGTTCATAGTACATTTTGCAATTCAATGTACAGTTCTTATGCTTTTTTTTGCCCATAAAATTGTTTTCTACTTATTCAGCTTCCGTAACAGGGAATGAATCCCTTGAACATGGTTGCTGTCCAGAGGAATTAATTTAAGCTGTCAGCTCTAGAGCAGTTTTCCTTCTATTTCTCTTGTTCTCACTAATAAAGTGTTTCTCTTCAGCACTTGTCACTTTTGATGCCCCAGCATTTTTCTACCAGCATTTGCACTTATTTCTAACTGATTTGTAATGAATATTGCACCCCATGTCTAGAAATCTTCAACTTCTTGGGAATTTGTCTTTGAGAGTAGCCTACTTTGAATAAAATTTCAATCTGTACCCTCACCTCAATGCTTAGCTGCTTTGCTTTTTCCATTCTGTGCAAATTCGGTTTTAAAGATTATAAACAACGTATAGCATCTCACAAGTACTAGAAATTATTAGCGATGCTGCTAGATTGTGTTGAATAACTGTAAATCCTCAATCTTTCCCTATTCAATCAATTCGAAGTTCTAATATCTACAACAGATAAAGTGGAATGCTTTGCTCGGAAATTCTCTTCCAACTCAACACTCGACCCACCTGGAGTACCCATACCTGATTTTCCCCCTAGAACTGATGCTATACTGAGTGATATACGCATAACCCCGTCACTGATCTCGGATATCAATTGCAAATTAGACTCCCATAAGGCAAGTGCTGTTGACGGGATACCAGTCGTCGTCCTAAAGAAATGTGCTCCTGAGCTGGCTCCAGTTCTCTCCAAACTCTACAACTATTGCCTCGCTGCTTCCTGATTTTCATATTGTTGGAAGTTTTCTTCAGTAGTTCCTGTTTTTAAGAACTCTGGAGAACCTTCTGACCTTCTAACTAACGCCCTGTTAGTCTCCTATCTCTTTACGGCAAAGTATTTGAGGCTTCAATCAACGCTGAAGTAGTTAAGCATCTTACTTCTCACGACCTACTCTGACAAATAATATGGCTTCCGTTTTGTCCGGTCTACCGCTGATGTGCTTACGGCCATCACTGTATATGTATATCAAGCTCTTGATAATAACGACGAAGCTCGAGCCGTGGCTCTATATATTTCAAAGGCGTTTGACAGGGTTTGACATGCCGGCCTTCTACGTAAGCTTCAGGGCTACGGTATTACAGTACGATTGTTTGATGTAATCCAACCATTCATATCAAATCGTGAAATGAAGGTCGTTCTGAACGGGCTCGCTTCGAGATCCTTTCACACGAACGCGGGTATCTCCCAAGTCTCTATACTGGGTCCTTCGCTGTTTCTGATTTTCATCAATGATCTTTCTGATGTCATCAGTTCCCAAGCAGACAGTTATGAAGATGACACTACCATTTATTCCTGTCTCAATAGCAAATCCGTTAGAGCTGACAAGATAAATATGACCGCTGCTTTTGAAAAGCACATCCAATCAGTGGTTTACTGCGGCAGGAAATGGCTTGGAAATATTAATCCTTCCAAAACTAAACTGATACCATTTAATAACCTGCTATGGTCCAGGTTAGGACCCAGGAAGAACAACACGAACACAAGAGTATAAATAACGAAGGTATATTACACGAAATAATAATACAAGATGTTGAAGGTGTTAGTATGACTGTCAGTCTGGTTTGGAGTGAACTACTATCGGCTCGACTCGATTCGACCCTCTCTCTTGAGAGGCGTAGTATACATAGTGTTAGGAAGAGTTCATTCTGTAGTTATAGGTAAGGACCCATGACATAACCATAGAGGAACTTCCCTGCCCGCTATCAACATGGCTGTTACTCGACTCCTGGAGAGCATCTCATTCCGCCTACTTGGCCTAATGTTTTCAGCTGACTTTAAGTGGAACAACTACATTGAATCAATAGCTGCATCTACTGCAAGGAAATTTGGTTCATTGTGTCGTTCATTTTGTCATAACATCTTGCACATTTACAAATCTATAATTCGTCCGTGCATGAATACTGTTGCCATATCTGGTCTGGTGCCCCCTGCTATTCATCTTGAGGTTCTTGACAAAATCCAAAATCAATATAATCGATCCTGACTTGGCATCTTGACTTCAGTCACTTTCTCACAGACATGCTGTGGCTTGTCAGAGCAGTTGGCATGAAAATATTTGTAGAAAAGACAGAGGGAATTCTGTTTTTTCTACAAATATTTTCATGCCAACTGCTCTGACGAGCTTTTCCCCTTGGTGTCCCGATTACGTGAATTTAAACGTACAACTAAATTGGCATCTAAGACCCCCACTTTTACTGTTGAAATAGTTAAATGCAACCGCCACTTCCACTCCAAGTTTCATTGCTCGTACTTCCCGACTGTGAAACTCCCTTCCGTTTACTTGCTTTCCTGATAATTACAATCTTCAAAATTTTAAATGCATCGTCAATCGCCATTTCCTGTTGTCTTGAACCCCGTTAATCTTTTATGCTTCCTCCAATACCCTCACTCTATCCAGTCTTTTTCTCTCACTTTCACTCTCTATAAATTTTGTAGATAATAATGATTTCTACCGATGCAAGTTTTATTAACTAACCCTAACCCTGCGGGAGAGAAGAGATACATTCATATCTTTTCTAAAGAAAGTGGATATAGCGAAAGCAACGGGAATTAGAACTCTGCTTTTGTTACTTTTCTGTATTTCCTTCCTTTCATCACTTCTATTTTATCTTTCTTTCTTTTTCTCTCTTTCTTTCTTTCTTTTTTTCTTTTGTTACTTTTCTGTATTTCTTCCTTTCATCTCTACTATTTCATCTTTCTTTCTTTTTCTCTCTTTCTTTCTTCCTTTCTTTCTTTCTTTCTTTCTTTCTTTCTTTTGTTACTTTTCTGTATTTCCTTCCTTTCATCTCTTCTAATTCATCTTTCTTTCTTTCTTTTTGTATTTCTTCCTTTCATCACTTCTATTTCATCTTTCTTTCTTTTTCTCTCTCTTTTTCTCTCTTTCTTTCTTTCTTTCTTTTGTTACTTTTCTGTATTTTTCCTTTCATCTCTTCTAATTCATCTTTCTTTCTTTTTCTCTCTCTTTTTCTCTCTCTCTTTCTTTCTTTCTTTCTTTCTTTCTTTCTTTCTTTCTTTCTTTTGTTACTTTTCTGTATTCCCTTCCTTTCATCTCTTCTAATTCATCTTTCTTTCTTCCTTTCTTTCTTTCTTTCTTTTTGTATTTCTTCCTTTCATCACTTCTATTTTATGTTTCTTTCTTTTTCTCTCTCTTTTTCTTTCTTTCTTTCTTTTTTTTCTTTAAAATTTTTCTGTATTTCTGTATTTCCTTCCTTTTATCTCTTCTATTTCATCTTTCTTTCTTTTTCTCTCTTTTTTTTCTTTCTTTCTTTCTTTCTTTCGTTACTTTTCTGTATTTCCTTCCTTTCATCTCTTCTATTTCATCTTTCTTTCTTTTTCTTTCTTTCTTTCTTTCTTTCTTTCTTTCTTTCTTTTTTCTTTTTCTTTCTTTCTTTCTTTCTTTCTTTCTTTTGTTATTTTTCTGTATTTCCTTCCTTTCATCTCTTCTATTTCATCTTTCTTTCTTTTTCTCTCTCTTTTTCTTTCTTTTTTCTTTTTCTTTCGTTCTTTCTTTCTTTCTTTCTTTCTTTCTTTCTTTCTTTCTTTTCTGTATTTCCTTCCTTTTATCTCTACCATTTCATCTTTCTTTCGTTTTTTCTTTATTGCTTTTTCGGATTTCTTTTTCTTTCTTTGTTTGTCTCTTTCCTGTATTTCCTTCCTTTCATCTCTCCTATTTCAGCTTTCTTTCTTTTTCTCTCTCTTTTTCTTTCTTTCTTTCTTTTGTTACTTTTCTGTGTTTCCTTCCTTTCATCTCTTCTATTTCATCTTTCTTTCTTTTTTCTTTCTTTCTTTCTTTTGATGTTTTCAATTTCTTTATTTCTTTATTTTTCTTTTCGCTATTTCCTTCCTTTCCTCTTTCCTTTTTCTTTGTTCCTTTGTTTGTTTCCTTTCTTTTTACTTTATTCTTTTCTAGTTGTTTATTCTTTTTATTCGAGTATTAAGTATCACATGACAATCTAATTTAATTATATGATCTTCCAGTATTTTCACTTTAAATTGTTTTTCGAACTCGGAATTTTATGGCAGGAAAACCAATTCCACAGTAGCATGCAACATTTCGTTTATTCTTCATAATATTTGCAACTGTTTTTCCTTATATTCTTTTGAGCATTATCATTTTTCATTAACAGACCCCAAGACTTACTGTCCTATAAAAACATCTCATCATTAATCCAACATTTGCTAGGATTTTGAAATAATTTATCACAATATCTGGTCTATTTGCATCCATTTTCCTCTCTGTGAGAATTGATAAATTCCACAATATATTCATACCTTGTCAGACGTTCGGCTTTTAGTTGAAGTTTTTGCTTAAGGATTAAATCTTATCTCTTGGAAGCTTATATTTCTTCATGATTCTCATAAGTTAATTCCGTTTTCATGTTTTCTTCGATTTGTGTTCCTTTAAAAAAGACGCCATCTCTTAGTTTTCCCGATTCGTCTTTCAACCAACTTCGAATTTTTATGGATATTCATTTTTGTTTTAGTTTTCTTGACTTTCAGTCCGCATTCTTCAGTTGCTACGGATTATGAAAAAAAAGAAAAAGAAAAAAGAACGACATGGGAAAAAAAAACAATGTATCTTTTTTGAGGGTTCGGTTAAAAGTGATTGGAGAGAATAGAGATCAAGCGACAACAAGGCATACCGTAAAAATGGCGAAAGATACACAGTGAACTATAAAAACCAAATCAATTTTTATTAAAATAAAATAAAAGCAAATTTTGCTAAATATTAGGGATGCACAAATTTGGCTGAAAAAGAGGTAATACATTTCTGGTTAAGTAACTATTTTTTTCTAAAATAAGGCTGAGTGGTAGTTGTGGGAAAAAAGATCAAGTTTCCAATGAAAGTCAGTCAAATAACTTGAAATATCACAATAAAAATTCCAGCGTCTACAAAACAATTCAAATTAGAAGGAAGAAGGTACAATAAAAAGGTTTCAGCGAAGTCAACCCCAGTTAAAACTCTAAAGCGTTCGATAAGGTTTGGAACGCTGGCCTTCTTCGTAAGCTTCGGGGATACGACATTACAGGACGTTTATTTGACTTAATAAAATCATTTCTCTCAAACTGTGAAATGAAGGTTGTCTTAAATGGGTTCTCCTCCAGTTCCTTTCATACGAACGTTGGTGTTTCCCAAGGCTCTATCCTGGGTCCTACACTGTTTCTGATCTTCATAAACGATCTTTCTGATGTCATCAAATCCTAAGTTGGTATTTACGCAGACGACACTATTATTTACTCCTGCCTTAATAGTAAATCCGGCATCGTTGACTAAATTAACTTGACCATAAGTCTCGAAAAGGACCTCCAATCTGTGGTTAATTTGCGCAGGAAATGGTTTGTAAACTTTAATGTCTCCAAAACGAAACTGTTCTCATTTACCCACCATAGAGAATCCTCACTGCCTCCTATCAGGATGGCTGATGCCCAACTCCACGAGACCATCTCACTGCGCCTGCTTGGTCTCACGCTGTCCACTGACCGGAAGTAGAACAACTACATTCAATCTATAGCTTTATCTACCGCGAGTTGGTTCTCTATGTCGCGCCAGAAGGTTCTTCTCGCCTGAGTGCATCTTTCAATTCTTCAAATCAACCATTCGTCCTTGCATGGGACGGATATGCAATGTGATGGATCCTGGTCTGGCATTTCGTCTACAGCCACTTTCTCACAGACGTAACGTGACTTCCCTCTGTTTTTTCTACAAATATTTTCATTGCAACTGTTCCGACGAGCTACTTTCACTGATTTCCAAACTGCATGAATTTAAGCTTGCTACTTGATTGGCATCTCGGTCCCACCCTTTCGCCGTCGAAACAGCTAAATGTAGCCATCCTTCTACTCCAACAGCTTCTTAGCTCACTCCTCCAGTCAGGGGAACTGCCTTCCTATCACTTGTTTCCTTGATAGCTATGATCTTCAAATATTCTAACGTAATGTGAATCGTCAGTTTCTTTAGGGCAGTCAGCTTATCCTCATGGTTTTCGAATATGGTTGGAATGGGTTTTCAACGGATTTATGTAGCTTTAACTTTATCTCTTCATATTTGTTTTTTTTATAACTTCGGAAAGGATGGTCTGTCATATAATGGTTGGCAAATGATGATGAGGTACTGATTCCGAATTATTATTATTATTAATATTATTATTATTTTCATTATTATTATTATTATCATTATTGTTAATATCATTATTATTATTTTTTTATCATTATTATTATTATTATTATGATTAGTATTATATTTTGTTTTATAAGATGAATGGCAGTGTGGCCCATGAAATGTCAAGGATTTCATGAAGAGGACGACTGCTTCAAAATCTGAAGACTTTTAATTGAAAACAAGAAAATGATGTAAAAGAAAACTCCAACGCATAGAAAATAAGGAACGACCACAAAAGAAGAAGAAAGTTGCTTCCTATCCGTTTCAATTTGATTTTTTCTCTTTCTGATTTTCCTTTCATTCATTCCAATGTTTTATTGTTTTATTTTTCTTTTGCATTTGTTTCCTATAACCAGTCAATTTCCATCTCACCTTCTCCTTCTCTTTTCCCACCCTTTAGTTTACTTCACTCTCTCTTCTTTTTCCTTCATTCTCCCTTCTATTGCCTGCATCTATATTCTGTTTTCTTTCGCTTTCCCATCTATTTCCTTCACTCTCCTATTTCTTTCACTCTCTATTCTATTACTTTCACTCTTCCATCTGCTAACTTCACTCTCCTTTTACTTTACTTCCTTCTCCCTTCTATTTATTTCAGTATCAAAGCTGTTTCCTTCTTCCATCTATTGATTCATTCTTCCTTCTTTTTCCTTCACTCTCACTTTTATTGGCTTTACACTCACTTCTCTTTTCTTTAGTCTTACTTCTATTTACTAAACGCTCCCTTCACTTTCATTTACTCTCCTGATTGTTTCACGCTCCCTTATAATTCTTTCAATATCCAGTCTATTTTATTCACTTTCCATTTTATTTACTTCAGACAGGCTTCTCTTTCCTTCACTCTCCTTTCTATATCCTTCATTCTTCATTCAGTTTCCTTCCCTCTCGCTTTTATTTCCTTCATTCTCTATTCTGTTTCCTTCCCTCTTCCTTTTATTTCCTTCATTCTCTATTCTGTTTCCTTCTCTCTCCCTTTTATTTCCATCCCTCTCTATTCCGTTTCCTTCTCTCTCACTTTTATTTCCATCACTCTCAATTCTGATGCCTTCTCTCTCCCTTTTATTTGCATTATTCTCTATTCTGTTTCCTTCCCTCTCCCTTTTATTTCCATCACTCTCTATTCTGTTTCCTTCCCTCTCCCTTTTATTTCCTTCACTCTCTATTCCGTCTCCTTCCCTCTCCCTTTTATTTCCTTCACTCTCTATTCTGTTTCCTTCCCTCTCCCTTTTATTTCCTTCACTCTCTTTTCTGTTTCCTTCCCTCTCCCTTTTATTTCCATCACTCTCTATTCTGTTTCCTTCCCTCTCCCTTTTATTTTCTTCACTCTCTATTCTGTTTCCTCCCCTCTCCCTTTTATTTCCATCACTCTCTATTCCGTTTCCTTCCCTCTCCCTTTTATTTCCTTCTTTCTCCATTCCGTTTCCTTCTTCCTTACTATTTTTCTTCTTTTTTCCTTCACACTCCCTTCTCTTTCCTTCACACTCCCCTTTTCCTTCATTCACTCTCCCTTCTATTATGTTCACTCTCCATTCTCTTTCCTCCGTTCTCGATCACATTTCTTCCACTCTCCATTTTGTTAACGTCACCCTCCCCTCTTTTTCCTACTTTCTTCTTTCTATTTCCTTTTCTCCTCCCATCAATTTTCTTCACTCCCCCCTTCTCTATCGTTCATTCTCTATTCTCTATACTTCACATATCTTCTATTTCCTTCACTCTTCCTTCTATTTCCTTCACTCTTTCTCCTACTTTCTTTATTCTCCCTTTTGTTTCCTTCACACTCTCTTCTATATCTTACCCACTTCTATTTACTTCACTCCTTCCATTTTTGCCAATTCTTTTCATAAATGCTTTCCCCTTAAAGCTTTTTAAAAAATTTCCCTCTCCTTCTTTCTTTTAAGTTTTCCCGCCACCGCCCTGTCACCATTATTTTAGTTCTTCCACTCTCTTTCATACTTCTCTCTCCCCATCGCCTTTTTTCACATCTTTCCGATTTTTACAGTCGTTTTACAAACGTTTCACTCATTAACGATCTCTTTTGAATTCAAAGGATTCCGTCCTGTGATTAGAAAGAAAAAAAATTAAATTCTTATTACAACCTCTTCATTGTAATCGTTGCGCACTGATCAGATGCAATTTTAGATATAAAATGTTTGGCTTCAAGACGAAGCCAATTCCATGGCATTTCCAGAAAGACAACAATTGGTAGATGATTCCATTGAACAAGAGAACACTGAAATAAATATTATAGATCGCGGAATATTTTGACAAAATACAGAGAAGAAAAAGAAAGATGCGTGATGGCTATATGTCTGTATCTTATTTTAAACATTTCCCCCCAAGTAAGGCAATAAAGCCACTAAGATGCAGCTGGTTATTGTGAAAGAATATAAGAAAATGAAACATTAAAGGGCAAGAACAATAAAGAGAACAGAAAGATATGAAGATCCTGAGATAGATCGATCGATTGATAGATATGAAAAGATTGATAGAGAGATAGATAGAAAGATATAAATAAACTGATAGATTGTTGATAGATAGATAAATATGAAGAGACTGACATAGATAGTTATGAAGAGACTGAAATAGATAGATAGAGACATATGAAGAGACTGATAGATAGTTGGCTAGATATAAAGAGTGTGACACTATTTAGCGTAAGCGTGAAAATTAAAAGCGAGAAATACTTAAGGCGAAATTTAAAGAATATCACGAAAGACATACTGAGCGATGTTAATTTTTTTAACAAAGAAAAGTGGTAAAGATTTTTATTTTCATTTGCGAAAAAAAGTATTTTTTTTTTCAGAAGATAGGAAATTCGTAAGATCTCGGATCTGTTGGAATTAATTTATGCTATGACGCGGTGAATAAAGATAGCAATCTGCCTAATGGCAATAATGAAAATTTCAAATTGGTCAAGTGGCCTACAAAACAGAATGCTGGAAGATAATCGTAATCAGGTCACGCACCGACCGAAAAAGATTAGCTGAGGCCACCCCAGAGAAAAAATGAAGAAGGAGAGAAAGGAAAGAATAAACCATTAACTATCTTTCGGAGATATCATTTGGTTTTGAGAGACACCTGTTTTATATCCAGACCTGGACATGATAAAAGTTTGTTGCTATGACAGATCGCTGGCGACAGGGTGCGAAGACGTCCAGTTGACCACCCATTTGACGCTTGGCGAAAATCTCTTTGATAAATTCCAGATGACATTCGGTTAAGATAGAGATTAAGGACCACACTACGACTCGTAGGGGTCTGGTCGAGGAAAAAAAAGAAGAAAAGAAAAAAGGAAGATAATTTTTTTTCCTTTGAGCGATAATTTTAAACTGAGGCAAAACCAGCCACATCGACGCTGCCGAGCGTTCATTGGCTGAGTGGTGGCGTGAGCATGAATCATGTTAATAAATATATGAAAGGAAGGAGACCTTCATTGACGCCTCTGAGGGGATTGGTGTGAGATACCACTATGAGAAAGGAAGAATTTGGGAGGACGATTCCCTTAAGAACCCCTCTAAAACGGAAAATAATGGACTTCCAAAAATGGAAAGTGATAAATTTTCCTGTCCGAAAACAAAGAAAATCCTTATTGTGGATTTAGAATTATCGAGGAACCCAAACCATGACAGGCCCACACCCGGTTTTGATCGGCGTCCATATAAACAGAGTCACAGAGAGTTCCGAAATGCTATTGAAAATGAGTTATTGGTTTTTGAACGCGCCAAAGCAACGCTGAGTTTGATTTTAAATTTTTTTAAAGTGTTTGCGTTTATACCAAATATGGTGATGAACAAATTTTTATTATTTTCAATAGCATTTCGGATACAATAACACATATATTTTCGATGTCCTCTTATTACTAAGAGAAAAAAACAAGAACACAACATCTATTATATACCTGAAGATGTCTGTAGGAACAGACGAAAAAATATAATAAAAATAACAACTAATACAGCAGAAATTTATATAAACAAGGATCAATTCATTCATAACGGATCTGGAGGTTTTGTGTACTATTTGAATTGTTTGCGATGATGGATGTCTCGCCATTTAAACCATTAACCTTTGCATTAGTTTTGTGTGAATAATTCATGTATTTGTAAATTGATTGCACGTTTATTGTATTTATATATATATATATATATATATATATATATATATATATATATATATATATTGAACAATAAAAAAATATTAAAAATTAAAATCTTCAGACACACTGGGTTGTAGATTAATATTCTTTCGTTTTTTTATTATTATTTCATTTAGATTCCTCGACTAGTTTCAAATAAAAATGGCCATCATCAGGAGAAGAAATATTTCTGCTTGCTGGTAGCAGTGAACTACAGAAATGAATGTCTTGATGGAGAAAATGAACTTTTGTCTGTAGTTTTTCATTTTTTTTTTTTTTTTTCATCTTTTTTAACATGAATCTTTTAACATTCCTTGTGTTGGTCAAACAGTCTCTTTTTAAGTTGTTATTTGAGATAAGAGCTGGATGGATCTATGCTGCTCTGAATTCCCTGGTCAGTTTGACAGTTTTATTGGTCCTGGAGAGGGGATGTCACTGTTAAGTGTTTGTGTGTGTGTTATTTGGTTCTTATGAGTGAGTATGATATGTGTAAGCGCGTGTATTGCTGTGGGTGTGTGTTATCATTTGGCTCATTAGGGAGTGAGTGAGTATGATTTGTGTAAGTGTGTATATTTGTGTGGGTGGGTGTATAAGTGTGAGGCCTCAACACCTCCGTAGGCATGTCTGTCTTGTGTGGGTGAGAAATGTGGGTAGGTTTTGATTTGTAAAGTTATATATTAATACTATCTATAGTGTTAAACTTATGGTTTAGCCCGGCTGGATAGTGTGTTTTTAGACGTTGTATCCACTTATTTTCATGGGACTCTAAAATCTTTCTAATGTTATCTGCTCTGAATTTTTCTATTCTCTCAATTATAGTGAATTTGGCATGGGTTTTGAATTTTTTTGAAAGTAAGGAGTGAGAACAATAAAAGAACAGGAATTAAGAAGACGTAAGATAACGATTGACATTGCATTTAAATTTTTGAAGATCATAGTTTATTTAGAAGCAAGAAGCTGGGAGAGAATTCCCCAAGTGGGAAGTCCAATAGAAGAAACTGTTAGCATAGAACTTATGGTTACATCTAGCTATTTCAAGTACAAAATGATGAGACCTTGCTGCAAATCTGGCACTTCTCTTAAATTCATACATCTACGTAGCAAAGAGGAAATTTCGTCAGAAGTATCACCATGAACGTATTTATAGAAAATACACACGGCAGCTACATTACGGCTGTGTGAAAGTGACTGAAGCCGAGATGACCACTGACATTGCAATTTCTTCTTTGGATCTTATCATAGATCTTTAAATATATAGCAGAATCACCAGACCAGATGTGGCAGTAATATTCTAAGCATGGACGAATGGTAGCTCTATGCATTGCTATTTTTAAAACGAAGCAGCCATTATATACCATTTGGACTGAAGCATCATAATCTTCGTGTGTTCAATAAATAAATTGAAGTATTTACAAAATAAGCAACAGCATTTAAAATTTTACTTTTTTATGGCTTTCTTTGTTTCTCTCTATCCCTATTTTTATCGCCTTCAAAAAGGTCCAACAGTTCAGGTTCTAGAAACAAAAAAAAACAGCACATATGATTTGATTATAGTGGTGAATGTTTGTGGATATTAAACAAAAACAATTTCCTATTACGCTACCTACAACCTTTTTCTGGCTCAGAAGATTACAATCACATGACATAAATTTTATAAAGTTTACGGCCGTATGACGTTAAAACACCTGTTCTCGTACAATGGTAACGTCGAGTCCTGTCAGTACTTAGATGGGTGATTGCTTATTAATACCAGGTGCTGTAAGCTTGGATGTGCGGGTGGTGGCTCGGAATTGTTAATGGGAGAATATGGATTTGTAATGCGTTAACACCTTCAATTTAAAAAAAAATTACCCCTAGTCAACTGAGATTTTTTTTTTAAATTAAAACAATTTTTTTCAAAGATTTTCTAATTGTAGTATTAAATTTTTCATATTTTTAAAAAAAAAGGTCACATAAGTTACCTCCCTTGCGACAAATATCTTCAAAGAAGGATGCGTTCATTCATGAAACTGAATGTCGGCACTTGATGTTGACCTCAGTGTCCATTCTTAAATCTTAACCGTTTCGCTTGAATTTAACAAAACTTGTCTGGATGAATTCTAGCTGCATAAACACGGACACAAACACATAATATATATATATATATATATATATATATATATATATATATATATATATAAAATTTGTATTTAGTAGGGATTATTCGAATGAGGACTTTAATCCAATGAAAGCTCAATGTAATTTACAGAGCAATTTATAATGATAAATTAAGAAAAACACCTTAAAAATCCATATCGGTTATAATTTATTTCGTGAATATTGTTATATTTATCTCTTCAAACCGAATATTTTTAAGGAATGGAATCAATTCAGACAGACAGACAGATATACCGGGATAAAAAGGAAAAAAATAAAAAAAGAAACTTCCCAGAGAAAAATAATATTATTAATAAAAAATAAAACATGCAAAAATAAAAAAAAATATATATAAAAAATAAATGATTTAAAAATTAAGCGAAGAAAGAAAGAAAGAAAAAGAGAAATAGGGAGAACGAAAGAAAGGAAAGAAGGCAGAAAAATAGAATGACGATTGAAAATGTCCTTAAAATTCTTGCTTTCTCATTCTTGCTGGCTCCAATTTCAAAGTCATTCAAGGTGATGTCATTTAAATTTAATTTAATTGTTTTTCAGTTTGACCATTTAAATGATGTCACTTTGAAATTGGGTTCAGTAAACA